AAGCTTCAAGTCCCTGGCTGAAAACCTCTCTTTGTTTTAGCACAACCCAAGAGGATTTATTCTCAGGAATTCAAGTATGGTTTGATAACAGAAAACTGATCTTATTTCATTACACTCACATGATCAAAGGAAAAAATATATTAATATGTCACTAAATCAAACAAGGCACATGATAAACTAACAGCTATTTCTAATAAGTTTCTCAGTAGGCGGGTGGACTAATGGTACAGAATAGAGGACACAGAGACCAATCCTCAAAATTATAACTACCTTATATTTGACAAAGGTGCTAAAAGCATGCAATGGAGAAAGGATAGCATCTTTAACAAATGGTGCTGGGAAAACTGGAAATACATATGCAACAAAATGAAACTGAATCCCTTTCTCTCGCCATGCACTAAAGTTAACTCAAAATGGATCAAGGAGCTTGATATCAAACCAGAGACTCTGCGTCTGATAGAAGAAAAAGTTGGCTCTAATCTATATCTCGTGGGGTCGGGCTCCAAATTCCTTAATAGGACACCCATAGCACAAGAGTTAAAAACAAGAATCAACAAATGGGACTTACTCAAACTAAAAAGTTTTTTCTCAGCAAGAGAAACAATAAGAGAGGTAAATAGGGAGCCTACATCCTGGGAACAAATGTTTACTCCTCACACTTCAGATACAGCCCTAATATCCAGAGTATACAAAGAACTCAAAAAATTAGACAATAAGAGAACAAATAACCCAATCAACAAATGGGCCAAGGACCTGAACAGACACTTCTCAGAGGAGGATATACAATTAATCAACAAATACTCGAAAAAATGCTCACCATCTCCAGCAGTCAGAGAAATGCATATTAAAACCACCCTAAAATACCATCTCACTCCAGTAAGCATGGCAGCCATTAGGAAGTCAAACAACAACAAGTGCTGGCGAGGATGTGGGGAAAAGGGTACACTTGTACATTGCTGGTGGGACTGCAAATTGGTGCGGCCAATTTGGAAAGCAGTATAGAGATTCCTTGGAGAGCTGGAATGGAACTACCGTTTGACCCAGCTATTCCCCTTCTTGGACTATTCCCCAAAGACCTTAAAAGAGCATACTATAGGGATACAGCTACATTAATGTTCATAGCAGCACAATTCACAATAGCTAGACTCTGGAACCAACCTAGATGCCCTTCAATAGATGAATGGATAAAAAAAATGTGGCATTTATACACAATGGAATATTACTCAGCACTAAAAAATAACAAAATCATGGCATTGCAGGGAAATGGATGGCACTAGAGAAGATTATGCTAAGTGAAGCTAGCCAATCCCTTAAAAGCAAATGCCAAATGTCTTCTTTGATATAAGGAGGGCAACTCAAAACAGAGCAGGGAGGAAGAGCATGAGAAGAAGATTAACATTAAACAGGGATGAGAGGTGGGAGGGAAAGGGAGAGAGAAGGGGAATTCCATGGAAATGGAAGGAGACCCTCATTGTTATACAAAATTACATATAAGAGGAGGTGAGGGGAAAGGGAAAAAACAAGAGAGAGAAATGAATTACAGTAGATGGGGTAGAGAGAGAAGATGGGAGGGGAGGGATTATAGTAGAGGATAGGAAAGGCAGCAGAATACAACAGACACTAGTGTGGCAATATGTAAAAACGTGGATGTATAACCAACCAATGTGATTCTGCAATCTGTACACGGGGTAAAAATAGGAGTTCATAACCCACTTGAATCAAATGTATGAAATATGATATGTCAAGAGCTTGTAATGTTTTGAACAACTAATAAAAAAATTAAATTAAAAAAAAGAATTTTAATCTAATGTCCTATCACTATTTGGCAAGCTATGTTCTTAATTACTTTTAGATTTTACTAATTATACATGACAATGTTTGAAAGCTTGGGGACATTTTCCAACACTAGTAAAAAATTCTTCAATTCTAAAAAAAAAAAAAAGAGGGGGGGGGATAGAAAAGCTAATCTGCATGAATCTATTATTGTTCCAATTTGAAATCAATGATTAAAATAGATGGCAAAATACAAAATCCATTTTCATTTAAATTATGAACTATCACAGTTACTATTTAATATTATTTTCAAGGTGATAGCTATGTAACAAGAATATAAAATAAAAGATATAAAAATTTAAAAATACAAAAAAAAAATTGGTAATAGATTATATGGCTGTATACCTTAAAAAAAACATCCAAGATAAAGTGGAATTTTTGGGAAATAAACTACTATAATAACAATGTACTAACTGGGGGAAAAAAGCATATTAGTAGTTTATTAATGTTTTCTCTTTATATAAGCACTAAACGAATTGGAAAGGAAAATGAAGATAGAAACATCAAAAATCAAAGTTATTGAAAAGCTCTTTAGGACACGTAACCCAGTTTCTTCAGTGAATAATTTAGAAGGAGAAAACGTATAGTGGAGAAATGCAAATTGAGAGAGACTTAAACAGACATATTAACCACTTACACAGTAAGATCTTTTGGTTCCTAATAGGAACAAACTGTTGGAGGTTAGAGGAGAAAGAAAATGGAAAAAATAAGAAATTATGTTTGCAGTTCCATTTCTGTACTCTGTTTTGAATACAGAAATTTGCAAGAGATAGTTTTGCAATCCTAGCAACAAGAGAAGGCCAGGAAATCTACAGAAACTCATCAGAGATCTAACATCACAAGGCAATAAATTCTAAAAGCAAATTATAAAAAGTGACAAGCCATTCCACAAAAACCATCTCACCTTTGGCAGAGCGCAGGAGAACGAGGAGGCCACCATAACAAGAAGACAATAAGAAATCGAGTAAGAATGTGTAAAGGTCAAGTGTAGCCAATTACACTAGCTTAAATCACTTGAAGTCCCAGAAATGAGGGAAACACTTTCAAGTTCATTCCCACCGACCTCCACTGAGTGTTCTCAATAAAGATCAGGAACAGGAAGGGAGACTTGTTGGTGCAAGCATTCGGCAGTAGGAGATGACCAGCTGGCGCTGGAAAACATCAAGCCTGACTACTTCCCCAACCCTTTTCTCATGTGAAACAAAAGCTTCAAGTCCCTGGCTGAAAACCTCTCATCCCAAGAGTCCAGGCTGCTGGATGAAGGGCAGAAAAAACTATCTGTCCCTAGAGGGAAGGCTAGGAAAACTTCTTGGGCTCAGAATCCTACAGCAATACTAAGCAGAAGTTGCTGCCAGTGCAGAAGGCTCAAGAAGCTGGTGACAGAGCACTATTTTGTGTTATAGTGATGCAGTCACTGCCGTAATTTGAGGATGAAATTGGAATGTCTAAATAATCTCTGCAGCACGCGGTCCCCAGTTTTATTATCCAGTAAAATATCCCACTTCTAGAGGAATTTTAAGTCTATAGTTCGATAATGTTTATAACAGAAACAGTAAAACCCAAACCCAGCTCAGCTCCTGACTAGATTAACTTAACCTTCCACCCTAATACCCCAAAAGAAAAGGTACGCCCATGTCTAGGCATAAGTACTCTTTACCTGCATATGTATCTTCTGTTCTTATCCACAAACTATCCAGCATTTAATAAAAAATTATGAGAAGCATAAAAAGCAAGAAAAAAGAAATGATTATCAAGAGATAAAGCAATAAACAGAACCAGAGTGAGTCAGAGACGAAATATATACTGGAACTATCAGAGAGAGTGTGTATAATAATCATGTTTAATATGTTAAATAAAACAATGGAAAAGACAAACAACATATACAAATATATGGCTCTATTTTCAGTAGAGAGATTATAACTATTTGAAAAAATTAAAGAGAAATTCTAGAAATAAAACAATATCACAGATGAAGAGTTCCTTCAATAGACCCATCAACACATTGAATACAATAAGAATCAGTGAATTTAAAAATATACCAGTGGAGATTACCAAAAATGAAATCCCCCCCCCAAAAAAAAATCAGATCAGTGCACACAAGAGTTCCAATATAATTTCTGTGGTCACAAATTATATGACATATTGTGTAACAGGAGTCTGAGAAGGAAAAGAGAGAAAGAATAATGTGGAATATTTGAAAGTACAATGGCTGAACATTTTCTAAAATTTATAAATGACAACTCAAGAATTCAGGAGAGCATCAAGCAGGGTGAAGCACGCGCGCGCGCACACACACGGTAGTGGGGGGGCACTAGAGAAGAATAGAGTTACCTTAGATTAGGTGGAGGGAAGTGAGGGAGGAGAGGGGAAGGATGGTGAGGATAGGAAGGATAGTAGACCGAAACCTACATTATTGCTTTATGTATGTATGTGACTGCACGACCAATGTGATTCTACAACATGTACACTCAGAAAAAATGAGAAATTATAAATATATCACATGATGTATGATATATCCAAGTGCATAAATGCAATCTGCTGTCATGTATAACCAATTAAAATTTTTAATTACATGTTGAAAATAAAAAATAAAAACAGACATAGAAGGGAAGCTAGAGCAGTACTTTATACAGAATAAAGATAAGGTTTATATCATACTTACTGGAAAATATGCAAGCCAGAAGACAATGTAATGACATCTTTAAAGTACTAAAAAGAGAAAAATTTCTTACACAAATTTAAGTGTGATAATGATACTGACGTTATGTGTTTTTTCTGAAGAGCCCTTATATTTAAAGATCCACATTAATATATTCATGGACAGCATAATAAGGCATGGGGATTGCTTTGCAATAATCAGGGAGGTGGGCTCCCTTTGTGGATGAGGACAGAGATAAAGCAAGACTGACCATGAGTTGATGATAGTTGAAACTGGGTAATAGGCACATAGGAATTTATTTTTTTAATTCCATAATAGAAAAAATTTTAAAGAGAAATGTTTAAAAAGAACATAGTGGGTATCATAGCATACATCGTACTGTCTGATTTTTTTCCCTCTAATTAATTCTTCCTCCAGACTTTGATTCACAGAAGGGTCACAGGTCTCCAAACAGGGCTCACAGAGCTGCAGGCCCCACCCCCAGTTACTTCAACCTAACCAAACCTACCAGTGCCAAAGCTCTCCTCTCCACACAGAGAGCACCGTCCAGAGTCCATCAGATTTGAGAAGAATCTCCATCCAGCTGGGGTCTCATATACAGGGATCTTCATTGATTTGGCCACTCTGAAAAATGAAATTTGAAATTCAATTCACACACCTCATTTTCTTTCTTTTCTCAGCATGGTAGGTAGGCTTTAAGATCTACTGATTCCATAACTAGATTTCAGAACAGCTTGGTCAGCGTTGACAGTTTTTCAGGATGTCAAGCTGTAATTTAGAAAATGATAACTAGCTTATTCCAATCATTCTCAATGTTCTTTTCTCCACAATACAAAATAGGTTAAGATATAAAATATTCTCACATTTGATTTCCTTTTTTAAATCTTTCTTTTTGGTAAGAGTCTCCTTAGGGATATCAGAATCTAAATTAAGTTAATTAAGATAATATTTGGATATAAACATATTGGAATATTATATGACACTATCTACTAAAGATAAATGTACCCATGTCCTATAAGTAGCAATTACCAATGGTATGTAGTGGATGCTGTGGTGGAGTACTCATAGACTCCTCTGCCAACACACGTGCACGCGCGCGTGCACACACACACACACACAATCTCTCTCTTTCAGCTCTCTCCACATTTTAGTGCTGAACTACTCATTACACCAGCACCTAGGAATGTTGATAGCTGACAGCTCACAGATGTGGCCCCCAATCTCTGCCAAAGAGAGAATGTCTCTTCCAAGGTCATTTTCCCATCCCTATGTCAATGAGGAATGTTCAAAGGCCTTGTCTCCTTGCCCAACTTGATACAACTCTGTAGGGCCATTTTGGCTCCAGAGCTCCCCAGAAATCCGCTGAACACTTAGTTGTGACTTTCTCACTGTCCTATAGGTGTTTGCTATAGTTTGGATCTGAAACGTTCCCAGAGGCCCATGTGGTAAAGATTGGTCCTTGGTGTGGTGCTACTGTAGGTGTTGATACCTTAAAGAGGTGGGGGCACGTCCTGCAAAAGGGTTGTGAGATGCTGGTCTCTTTCTTTTTCAATTACTGGCCACCATGAGGTAGGCAGCTTCCTCCACCATGCATTCCCATCATGATATACTGACTCTCCACAAGCCCAAAAGGCAACAGGGACTAACCAATCATAAACTGAAAACTGTAAAGCCAAAATAAACCTTTCCTTTTTTAAGTTGATTATCTAGATATTCTGTTACAGTAATAGCTGATGAACCATGTTGATGTTGAAGGCAACTTTAATCTCGAAGGTAGAAAGGCATAAATTTCATGCAAGCAAATTTCTCTCAGAGCTGTTTCCTAGGGAACCCAGTATGTCATGTTACTTGATATTTTATAAGAATCATCATCAAAAGTGATTTATGATAACTGAAACAGACCAAATAAAGGACAAATAATTTGTAATATATAATGTAATCATCTAAATTTCATTGGGAAAAAACTTTGCTTCATGGAACAACTTGATTCTCACAAACATGGAATAAAAAAAGTCAATAACATCGTGGTAAAATTCATAAACAGCCAAAACCAATCTATGCTGTCAAAATTCAGGCTCAGAGACTCTGAGCAGTCAAGTATTTTGCTGAAGGTCCCACAGAGGTAAGAGGCTATGCTAGAACTTGGACCAAAGCCTATTTAATTTCTGCTCAGGTTACATCAACCGTGTTCTCTCTCCAAATGTCTTAGTGTTTCAGGAGAGAGATGAATCTCAAAGCATGCTAGGGAATGAGCTGGTATATCCCAGGCATTGGTCTGAAGAGTTTTATCTTCCCAGTGTGTGAGCAACTTAAAGAGAAAAAACACCAAATGCCCACCAGCTACAAGGCTTCATTCTTGGACAGAGTGCGTCAGGGAAGGAATCAGTGAGAGTCTTGGTGCAGAAGAGGAGAAAAGTGGCACATAGGATAAAGGGCACAACCTAAGAACAATTCCTTTTAGTTTGTGGCCAGACAGAGAGAAAAAAGTACCTAGAAACCTTTGCTCCAGGAAACTGGAGCAAATACACAAACCCCAAATACAAGGAAAGTGTTCAAGATTTAAAAATTGTGTGCTAAACCTCTTGCAAGTTTGTTTTGAAAAGAAGAACCTTTTAGTAGGTTAGGTGTTACTTCAAAGATTCCATCTTCTCTCTTTTTCAATGGTTTAAGAAAAACACAGAATCATGCTTACATCCTGGTGGGACCAATGAAAGAAACCATCCCCAGACTGTAGAGCAAAGGTTAATTTTCAGAGTCCTTAATTTTACAATCAGAAGCTCAAGGAAGGAGGAATAAATCCCACAGAATCCTTCTAGGGACAGTGCATAGAAAAACCTGGGTCCAAATTAACTCAGCAAATGTGGATACACATGATTACCAAAAAGAATGTCCAATGTGGGGGCAGAGGTGAGGGTGAAAGAGAGGGTAGAGGGTGTGGGGACATATATTTTCTGACCAAAATATTCTTGTAGGTTCAGAGCCAAGTTGGCAAGACTGAAGGGAGGGGAAAGGATTTCCCCAGTTCCCACCCTTCCTAATTAATCACTGTTGGGTGGTCATTAGGTGCAGGCTGTGACTGGAGTTTTAAGGGCATACTTTTATAACTCTGAACCTCAGTTGCAGTCTAAGATAACATGGGTAATGAAATTCCAGGATCCTGGATATGTGTTCATTTGTGTCCTAGGGCGTGAAAGGAATTCCTCTCCCTCCCTCCTCCTCCTCCAGAATTTGGGATTCATCCCAAACACAGCGTTCGGCAGATACCATGCATAGACTGGTTTCTAGCAGGAAGTCCCTGGAGCCTCTAAAATCCTCCAATAGAAAAGCTCAAAATGAAGCTGCTCCTGCTGAGGGTCTGAACCCTTCTCTGTGTGTGCTAGAATCAACATGGGGACTCGTTTCCCAGGAAAAGTCAGAGGATGAAGAAAAAAGAAAAATAATCTGGTCCACAATTTTCCTACAAGGGAAAATGAGCCCTGATAACCAAAAGAACATGCTGGAAGTGAGCTCCTCAGTCTGGCTTTCAAAACCTCCAAAAATGTGATTTTAGGATGGACCCAGTCTCAACCTCACTTTCTCCCACACTACCTGCTGTGTTCAATGCTCCTAACAAACTGAATTTCGCATTTTATTGTTGTTATATACTGCTTAGTCCTTCTTTATGTCATTCATTTCACCCAAGTTAACCCTCCTCTCCCAATCTCTGTCAAAATCTATCTTAAATGCCCTGTCATCATAAAGCTTGTCTTGGTCCACTTTGTGGTGCTATAATATAATACCTGAGACCGGGTAATTTATGAAGAACAGAAATTTACTCTTACTCTTCTGGAAGCTGAGAAGTCAAAGATCAAGGTAGCACCCATATTTGGTTTGTGAGAGTCTTCTTGTGTGTCCTCACAGGACAGAAGATGGGGAGACAAGCTAGCCAAACACAGCATGAAGCCTTAATTCCAGTAATGAGGAAGGAGACTTCCTGGTCTGATCACCTTTTAAAGACCCACCACTTCATCCTATCACATTGGCAACACTTGAGTTTCGGAGGGCATTAACTCTCAACATAATTTTGAAAGAGACAAAAACATTCAAACCATCACAGAGCCTGGGGCAAAGCCTTCCAGGTGGTCAACATCTCACCCCCTCTCATCTCCTCACACAGCCCAACTGCTTCCCACCCTCCCTTGCAAAGAGCTGTGGTCATGTGACTGAGTTCTAGCCAATAGAACTTCCCTTTCAGATCTGGCTATAAAAATTTCCCATCTTCCAGGGGGAGGGAAGAATAGAAGTTTATTGAATTAGACAAAGGGAATGAAAGGAAGGAAATGGGATAAGAATGGGAAAAACAGTAGAATGAATTGGACACAACTTTCCTATGTTCATCTATGAATACAGAACCAGTGTAACTCTGCATCACGTACAACCACAAGAATGGGAAGTTATACTCCATGTATATATGGTATGTCAAGATTCATTCTGCTGTCATGTGTAACTAAAAAGAACAAATTTAATTTTTTTTTTTTAAAAGCCAAACTTCCCAGCCTCCATGTTCTCCTTCTGCTAGCTCAATGTGGACAAATCCGTCAGTCTTAGAAGACTGGTGTTGAAGGTGGCTGGCCCACAGATGAAAAGATCTGGATATCTTATGAAGCACCATTTGAGACAGAAAGTAGGGGGCTAAGTGTTCCTATTTTATGATTTGTAGTTTCCTTAAAAATATAATTTGTTCCTGTATGTCTCATTTAAATTGTGCATTTTGAGAAAGAAGAATTCCTCCAGGTATTATTAATTCATGAGGCTATTAGGTTGAGACAAAGATTTATTTCAGAAATGAAGAACTTAGAGAACTAGGGCAGTGCCAAAATGAGAATCAAATATTTGAGAAGCAGGACACTTTATTTTTATTTTACCAGCTGAAGATCACCCTATTCTTGTGTGCACAAACAGGATGATAGACACAAAAACAGCCTAAGAGTACCCAGAAAATTCACTGAGTGTGGGGATGCTGACATCTCCATCTTTGTGCCTCCAGTGACCTGCACAATGCAAGCCCATGGTAGGAATTCAAATATTTATTTACCCAAAGCACAATATTATTTTTGTTTTTTGTTTGTTTGTTTTTGTGGTGCTAGGAATTGAACCCAGGGCCTTGTGCAAGCAAGACAAATACTCTTACCAACTGAGCTATATCCTCAGCCCCAAAGCACAATCTCATTATGTGTGATAATAGCATTTCATACTAATACATATTAATGACTGAATTTGCAAGAATAATCAAATGAACACTGACTGTTCACAACAAGTGCATGAGATGCTTATCCTGCTACTCTTGGAATTCCACTTAAGAAAGCTGTGATAGATTTAAAGAGGACAAGACCCAAGTCCCCCTCCCTTTGTTCTATTTTAAAATGTCCCTTTCTTAAGCATCAAGATGGAGCCATGATACTATTTTCTACACAGAGAATTTTCAGTCCCCTTTTAAAGCCCTCATCTACATAAGTCTAGGAGAAGATATTTGCCAATTTTGTATGGCCTTTACATTTTTTAAATTTCTACGAATCATTTTAAAATACAAACTTTTAAAAAGCACTTTATACAATTAGTGAATGAATAGAAATGCTCAACATCAT